GAGTGAGGGAGTGAGTGAGTGAGGGAGCGAGCGAGCGAGTGAGTGAGTGAGTGAGTCAAGGAGTGAGGGAGTAACGGAGTAAGTGAGTGAGTGTACGGGTTCACTCTACACAAATGCCCGAGTGCCACAGCGAATGTCAAGTTGAGGCGCTTCCTTCCCGAATGAACAATGCTTCAGCACATGCACCTCCACGACCCTGCACTTGCCAATCCGCAAGCTATTCCAAATCCTGGAATCCCCCAAAGGCAAGCTGAAGTGTCAGGTAGCACATCAACGAGCAGATGTTGTACTTGTTTGGTCTTTTTTCGACCGCTGAAGCTCGAAGCCACCCAGAAGGATCGACAAATTCCAGCCTGAGGTGATCGATTCGCTGAACCACCACGGCTTCCCCCGGATCGGCTCGGAGCTGGAAATCGCGAAGCCAGGGCCCCAGCCGCAGAAGACACTTGGTTCGCCACGTTTCTGCTTGAAACATACTACGGTCGTGCCGTGCTGGCTTGTGCTCGGATGGTCAGCGGCTTGCCGGACTTTGTGTGCTTCGTGCAACCTTGCATCCGGTCTGAGTTATTCCTCAGGCTATTCGAGTTGACTGGCACCTGACTTGTGCGTCTGTGCTTGTGCTTGCAGAAGCTTGCCCTTGAGCTGATACCTCTGTGCTTGTTGTCAACTGCCTGCACCTCCTTAGGTCCTTTTCAAGGGAACATTTGGGTGCTCTGCAAACATAATGGCTGGACTCACCCATGCCATACAATGTGCGCGTCTCACAGTGGCCGATGCGACTATAATCTTGCACGAAGCCCATGCGCAGGGCAAAGGGTGACAAGGCGGACGAGTCTCGTGTCTCGTGCTCGCGTAACGCGTCCGTCAGATTGCAATAGTTTGAAGGCGAAGTTAAGTTGTCAGAGGCGAGGTCGAAGCTTGGAGGCCAAGGAGATGCAACCCTGAGGCAGCGCAAGAGTTGCGTTGAGGCAACCTCGTGATAGCTGTGCTGATACCGATCTGACACGGCCTGACAGTTCTCATCCGCCACGACACAAGTCTGCCACCCCACAGAATCCAATGCGCATCTGCTTGCTGACAGGGTGGCTGGACGAATGTGATTTGCGTCTCAACTCGACTCGAAACGATTTGCATGCGCCTTACTCCCGTCACCGATAGTGCGCCGATCTCCATCTATATCCTGTGTCCCTCATTTGAAGCTCCTGGTCAAAGAGAGTTCTGGCTGCGTGGTTTGCCTGGAGCCGGCGAACTGATGAAGTTAGACTCGTACTGTTTTGAGACTCGGTGTCCTGACAAGAGCATCAACCAAGACAGCACTTTCCAGCCATGCCCCTGTTCTGTTGGGCAGCTGCATTTCTCGAAATATCTGAACTTGGTGTGCATCCTTTGACGGAATCACGAAGAGCTACCCAGCTCTTCAAATTGGCCTGGGATTTCGGAGGCCTGTGGACTCCGGGCTTTCCGATGCCCATGAGCTAAAAATTTGCGCTTGCCAACCATGAGAACCCCACATTGCTACGCACATTTGCGCCAGATCTTGCTTCTTCCTTCGGCGGAAGGAATTCGATCAGGCCATCCAGGTGCTTCCGCTCGGATCTGGGATTCAGTGCAGGTTCCATAGAGTCATGGAGGGTCGCTCAAGGCTTTGCATCGGAACGCTTCCTCTCGATTTAGAACCCTCTAAGGAAGGACCCTCCTAAGCCCTGCAGGCAGGCCCGAAGAACCTCATGGATGCCCTACTTACGTCGGCATAGCCCCCCATTTCACGCCACCGGCTATCTTTTGGGACCTCAAGGTTCGAGACTGCTGAGACGAGCTTCCCAAGCCCTGCACAAGCTTCTTTTGACTTACCGAGCGGATTTGTGTTGTTCATGGACCTTTACTTGCCTTCCCACACCTGCTGGCGTCGCAAACCTTTTGCAAGCTTCAATCTCAAGCTGAAGACTGTACCCATCCGAAACGGCACAGTCTGTTTGCTACTTCAACGAAAACAGGCTGGTTTGGAGGGATGAAGGTCGAGCCCCATCGAACTTCAGTCATACCTGTAGTGTGAGCTTCACTTCGCAACCAAAATCAGAAATTCCGTTGGGAGTTCGGGCTGGGTCTCCTGTCCTTCGCAATTTGTCAAACCATGCAAAAACCTTGTCCATATTCAAGACATGCTTCTCATCAGAATGCCAAGGGCAACAGCACGAACATGACCTGATTGAGAGATCGGATCCTGAGCTCCATTCGCATGGGCTGAGGTTCGAAGGGCGAGAGCAAGCTTTTTAAGACTTTGTGGAACTCAAGAGGCTTGGCCCCTGCAGGTGCTGAAGAAGTTCGAGCGGAAGGAGCCCTCCTTGATGGCCTGTGCTGCCACGAACTTGTCGGCATCTCAGCGCGTGCGCACCACTGCCTCGCACCCTCTTGCGAGGGAGCTGTCCGCTTCATAAGTCTTGAAGCAGTAACAGTCTTAAGCCCCGAGTCACAGGCATTCAAAGCCATCAGAGGTCCTTCCTGTACTTCTTGGAGGCAGAGCACACGCAAGCAGAGAAGTACGCAGACATTGCAGCTACTGGGACCTTGAAGAGTCTGCACGGGTGGAGCTCTTTAATCACTTGTTTTTCTTATTGCCTCATGCGCATTGATCCCGTGGAGCCCTCCTGGAGGACGAAGGTCTCATCCCCAAGCGCCGACCCCAAATCCCGAATGGTGTCCTCCAGTCTCATAGTCCACGAAACAACACGATGCCTCAACTCAAGGTGAAGGCAGACCGATACAATGCCGGGCCCTTAAGCAGCATGCCGCAGAACGCTTGTGTGATGTCGGCGATGAAAACTTACAATCCTTGAAGCAGTCCGTGGTTCGCATGTCAACCCAACATCACGTATGCAGAACCCTGAAGTTTCATGCATCGGTGCATGCAGACTCTTTGGTAGAGCTCGGAAATTGCGGTGGAATCGCAATCGAACGTGGAGGCCCGGCGGCTCTGCACCGTAGGGTTTTGGTGCGCACTCAGGCTCGAGCGCTCGTGAACAAGGGCAACTGCAACTGCTGCTGCATGTTGGTGGGTGCAGAAAACGGTGGGTTCAGATTTGAATTTGACCTTTTGTTAAATACCGGGCCGGTGTTTTCCTTTTTTTTTCGGTTGGGTGCTTCACTGGACATTATCCGCTAGTAGGTATCAGGAACACATTTGGGCTGATGCATGTTGAGTTATTGTTTTTCTAAACTCCATACGCGCTTTAGCATAATGCTGACATAAGGTTGCAAGCTTTAAGGTTCAACACTCTAAGCAGCCCGTTCAGGGTGTGGTTTCGCGACTGTGCTGTGGCTTTCTGGAAGGTGAGATTAGCTCCGTGGCTTTGAATATCTGAGCGATGAGCTTTTGCGGACCAGGAAGTGGAAAGGCCTTCACGTGAAACGGCGCCCGGTCGCACTGCGGTCTCAGGCATGTTCATGAATGACGAGTTCGAGCGTGCGAAGGAGGTGTACCTTGAAGCAGGAGCCCCAGCGCCGTACCATCTTCGGTTGGACTGAAGCCTCTGAGACCCAAGCTGTAGCGTGCCAGCAACTCGCGGCAGAAACTCGTAGAGGAAGGCCCAGACTCGTGGAACTCCCAATGGGCCGAACATGCCGAAAGAAGCCGAATGCCTTCCTCCTCAGCCCGGAAATCCCCTTGTGTCCCAGGCCATTGGAGTCAGTGCTGACTGCCTGGAGGCGATCTATAATCTCGGCTTGGCAGCACGGCCGCAGCTGAGAGTTTATAGCCGTCACTAGTTTTCAGAAAGCCCCGAGACAACGGCTAAGATGGCTGACCCACCACCGCTGCATTCTCCGTGTCGTGATATTGGATGTGCATCCATTGTAGACTGTTGGCCTGTGATGGTGTTGAAATGCCTCCTCGACCTTCAAGACCTTTGCTGGAGGTGTGGTCTTATAGGGATTCCAGATTATGCCTTTGGCGCCTTGGATCTGTGTCCGTGAGGGTTGTGGTGCCCGGCTTAGCCTTGCAGTGTCGGCGGCTTCGTGCGGGTGTCCATGAAAACTTCCAAACTAAACGACAAATCTAGATATCGATTCAATAGTTCAATCCCAGGGGGGGCTGCCGTATTTCTTTGCGACTTCAACCGGACAGAAAAGTCTCTGAACCAGAAGCTCGGGGCCATCGCTAAGCAGCTCCGGAGCGTGACACAGGAAATATATTTTTGTTGCTTCCGAACCCTTGATCTCCGCCAGACAAGGTCAACATGCACATTGGCAAGTCCGGCACTTGGAATGTTGCGCTGGCGGTGCAGGGTGTAGCCGTAGAGTTCAGCATAGAGGAAAATGGCGTGGCGAAGCGCCCATATCGGTTTGAGATGTGAAAGTTCCTTCCTGGACGGAGCTGCAAATTCAGCTTCTGTGTTCCGCCACATTTGCCTATTCGGGCTTTCATGTGGACCTCGAAAGTAAAGAAAGAATCCAAAGGCTCCACGAAAGTTCGCAAGGTACCAGGAAGCCCTCTTGGCCTTTGACAAGCTCCACTCCATCACCCACGTGCGCTTCTCAGCCACGGCCTTGCTTAAGCTCGAGGACTCCTGGACTAGTGACTAGAGAATCCAAGTAACCGAAGCGGTTCAGGGGATGAGGCCTCCGGCTACATAAAGCTTCTTTGACCTGGTGATGATGCTCCCAGCTAGAAATTTGAAATCTGAAGCCGGAAGCCATCTAAACACAAGAACCTTGTAGTCTAGTTGATCTTTTGCAAGCTGTGACGGCATGACCCGACTCGAATCGCGAAACCCTGAATAGGAATTCCTGCAGCCCTGAGCCCTAGGCTCAAAGCTTTAACATTTTCAATCCCAGAAACCGTAAACCGCGAAATGCAGACCTCTTAAACCGTCCAAACCCTTTCTCCAAACCACGGAAATCGCAACGCCCACCACAGCTAGGAGCATCAATACGAAACTAAAAGCCCGCAGGTGAATTGTGAAGTGATGTGGCAGCCGCGAGCTAAGCTGTACTGAACTGTGACCCGTCACGGTCGGGTGTTGTAGGTTCACGGATTAGGTCTAACGGTCTTGACGCCGGTGAACCCCGGGTTCACTGGTTCATGTAGATGTTGGGATAGTGGAGGACTTCGCGGCAACTTTGAACTTCAAGCTGCTGAGCTCAAGCAACCGACTCACCAGCCCCATTCTGAATCGAAGGTAATCCAAGGGGTGGCAGTGGGGCTGGCTTCCCAAGTAGCACCACACCAATCGTTCAGCTGGCAACATGTCCTGGAAGCCTCGCTTGCGCAATGCATTGCTGGAAGACCCATCTTAAGTTACGGTGTGCTCGAACTTGAACCCTCCAACACCCATTGGCGACCCGGTTCCCGAGAAGAAAGCGTTGTCCTTTTCTGCGGGCTCAAATCAAAGCTCCAATATTGCACCTGCCGGTGAAGTCCATGACCTTCAGGCTTGGCGACATCCACGAGAAGCTTGGGAATCATGCCAAGGCTCACGAGTGGTTCTCGCTTTTGGCCACAGCCTTGGGGGCTCAATAGAGGTCATTGACTCTGAGCTTGAGGAAGTTTGGGGATTTGCCGGTCGGTCTTCGGAGGTTCATGAGATTTGGGCTTCCTATGTTTGAAATTAAGGCTTCGGCTTCGTTTTTGTCGAGTCTGTTTCCCGAACTCGTTGCACTTGGTTCATGGCGACGTTTATGTTTGTCTCGTTGTTCTCTCGTTCCTCCCCTCGCCTTCCTGCTTGTCCTTCATCCGCCTTCTCTGCCCGAAAACGTTTCAAGCGAGCGAAAGCCGGTGTGCACCTCGTCGCCGTGCCCTGCACAGAGCAGTAAATTGCTCTCCTCCCGACATCTCCTCTCCCTGCAAAAAGGCTGTAGTGACTGCTATGTTTACTTGTCTAAACGGTTCCGTACGAGACTTTCGACTGCAAATCCTATGTCGTGAAGGAAACAGCGATGCTGGGACGCGACCATCAAAGGCTTGAGAGAAACGCAAGCCTGTGCGCATGCCTTTGTGCGCGAACTCCCTAATACTTGGAGCCTTCGCTGGCTTGAGCTGGAGACTTGGTGAGGATGAGTTCGTTGTTGGTCATTGTTTTGGATGACGCACGCAGTGACATGCAGTGACGTAGCGGAGGTGGACGGTCCGATCTCTAGCCCGGCAGGCAGTCAGGGGAGAGATGATGACGATGAAGCTAATGGTGGTTCGATTCCATCATGCTTTGTCGAGCTCGTGACTCCTTTACGTCTCCTATCGGCTGATATGCGGCGTCTATTGCAGAGCCGCTTCATTTGGCCTTTCGGGACAGGTGCACCATCTAGGTTGGCAAAGGGTGTAGGCTGTTGTGGCGTGCGGTGTGCAACTTCTGTGTGGTGGGTGTTCGTGCCAACGACCTTGAATGTATACCGAACCATCATCCGGGCCTCCAAGCCTTCTATGAATTGACCGCATGCCAGCTCCAAATAACAGTGGTTGATTGTCGACCTCCCAGCCGGCAGAACAAATCCTGCGCCCGAGACATTCGGCCCTCGAATACCCTTTCCTTAAGGTCACGTCGCCGAAGGGGCGGCCAACAGATCCAGGTCGGGTGCCGCGAGAACCCTCCGGAGACATGTGCGTTTGCTGTTTACTCTAAGACTAGGAGAGACGTTCAGTCGCATAGCCAGGTGTTTTGGCACGCCTCGCCAACCTCTTCAACAAAGCGGGAGACGAGACGCAGGCGTTTCACTACCACCTGGAGTCCTACAGGCCAGTTCCTGCCGGTCATGTTTCAGGTTCAGCTCCGAGAACATCCCTGACAAGGTCCTTAGAATAGAAATCCTTTGGAAGTTTGTTTTGCCATTGGAGGTTTCCATGATGTTGAGCGCACGGGCATCCCAAAGTGTGAGACCTCCCCAGGGCTCAGCGGCGCACGACAAAGGAATTTGTCCGGAGTTTGGGTAACCCCACGCCCTGGAGTTTCCGGTATCTTGGGCCATGGTGTGCACGTTCACTGTTCAGCGACAGAGCTTCCCTCAGTACTGCAGCACCACGACCAGGATGCAAACTTTCAAACTTTCAATTTTGGGATAGTCGCAACGCCTGCTCTCCTGTCTGCGTTGGCATTGGGTGGAGTATCATGTTCAGCATTCGGCATGTCTGTCTTTGTGTGCCTGAAAGGTCACCGAAAAGGAGTAAAAAGCTTCGAGCTGGAGGGTCCGTGTCACTTCCCCAAAACTCTCGGGAGCAGGTACTGGCCGGTAGACATGAACGTCATCACCTGGCTCGGCATTTACTACGTCAAGCAGGAGATGCCTGGAGCCCATGCTCTTGAACTTGCCCCAAGAGTCTTTTGAATGCCTCGTTCAGAGTCCATGGCTTTGGACTTCGGGTCCTGCAGAAATCTGGAATTTCAGTGATCCGTCTGCTTCCGGGCGCCAGAAGACTATTTGGTTCAGTTCCTGTGAGATGCGAGATGTATGGCTTGCATGCAAAATCCCTCCGAACCTTACAACGAAAAACTCACCTGCAGTGCGAAGTCGTCTAAGGTACGAGGCAGCGATCCCCTTCTTCTCTAGGGCGTCTCAGATCGAGCCAAACGAGGTCCGCTGGATCAGCAGTTGCGTGATTTCGGGCTTGGGCTCCAGGACCAGCAAATCTTGGTGTATCGACGATAGTTCGACAAATCAAAGAGTTAGGAGGCTGCAAGAGGAATTTCAGTGAAAGTCCGAAGCAAACCCTTTTCTTCTGCTCGCTCTTCTTCTTTCCGCCATGTGCTGCAATAGCTCTGTGCCAATGCCTCATCGGCCTTGCTCATATAGTGTCCCCGAGGACATAACCTTGCAAGTTATTTGCGTGGCTTGTTAACTGGGCATTTCTCTGAACGAAACACAAACGGTCTTCTAGGACCTTTCTCGCAGGATCAGCAACAACCCAAGCCCCTGACATTTCCTGCAGGTGAAGTGGAGGCTCATGGTTGCGTCTTGCTACCGGCGGATGGGTCCGTCGGCTGCACCAGCATGTGGCTGTTTCGGCAGTATCGTCGACACAGCCAAGAACAGCAAAATGCGCATCACCCCTTGATCTCGGCCGACATTTGCTGCTTGTAGAGCTTGCGCATTTACGCCTGGGCATTGCCGAAAGCCTCAACATATTGGTGTTTGCTGCCATTCTGCCTTAAAGGCTGTTCTGGGCTGGGCAATGAGGCTGCAGGAACGCACAATCGCTCAGGCTGAAACATCACCTTGACCCCGAAGTCTAAGAACCCAAAGTCTCAACAGCAAACCCGGAGAGCTCTCTTGTTTGGGCAGCAGCGCTCAGGTGCATACCCTGCTGCCCTGAAGCTCTACGAGGACTAGCAGTGACTAGCGTTGCTGTTCAATGAGCTTTGGGAGGCTTAGCTGAAGAGGCCATGAGGTTTGGCTTGTCCTCAGTCTCGCCGCGGGGGATGTCAGATTCAGGGCTCCGAAGAGCTCTGTCCAGTGTCCTGCAACCCTAAAACCGACCTCCGGTGCAAAGTCCATGGCCGATCATCTTCAGAATTTAGGATTACGGAGCCCTTTCCGAAAAGGTAAGCTCAACCTTCAACCTACCACCCACCCAATCGAGAAAGGCATTCTTTCATGTTTCTGATTTGTGCAGGATATCCACAGGTCGCACCCGAATGACATCGAGTGCGTCAGGTACCTCATAACCATTTGCAAGGCGCGCGGGTTCCGCTCTGCGCACGCATTCCATACGAGCGCATCTGTCTTGGACTCCGAGCTAAGCCATCCTCCGAGGGGTTTCGGAGTTTCAGCCCAAAAGCTTTGCAGAACTTTGCAGAGGAGACTTGTGTATCGTTCTCCGGGCCCCTTGACGGTGCACCACGGGGTGGGTTCCGACTTCAGCACTGGGGCTGGCGGGCATAGGTCATCCGCTGTGCTCAAGCTCAGGTTTGAGAAGAGAAAGCTTTCACGTTTGCAGACGAGCTCCTTGTTGCAAGACGTTCGTCGAGCTCTGCAAACCAAACCCCTCACCTCAAGCTAGAAGCCGAATCACGATGCCACTCACCGAGCTGCCCCTACAGGAGATGAAGCAGAAGTACGTTCGAGCGGCCTGTTTTTACGTCAAGAACTTTGATGGGCGAGTACCGGTTGCCGTGATAATCCCTGTACACTAAATATGTGCAGAATATTGTCCATTCCCCCCACCTCATATGTCATATGCTTCTTGGGCGGTAGTTTGCCGACACATGTGCAGCAGTCGGACAGGGCGCTTTGTTGTCCAGATCTTTTGGTTTTTCGCGAAAAATGACCCTCAAGTTGGAAGACTTGTCATCAAGATTACATGTTCCGGGCAGCCTGCTGCGCTCGCAGCCTTTGCCAAAAGTCGGTTCGATGAAGCGCTAGGCTAGTTGCTGAAGTATGTTGCAGGTACTTGGGCCTGTGCAGGGAAGCTCGCAGAATCTTTGAGGTCTTCTTTTGCTTTCTGCCAGGACCACTACGCAGCTCACCTTCGAAAACTGGAGAGATTGCAGGCACGTGCTGCGCAGTGAAGCCTGCTTGCCCGAACACAAATCCCAAAAGTCGATGCCCACTTGGCCAAAGGCAGCGAACGAGCAGCCGGGACGGAACATGGGCACAGTTTCGGCCATCGGACAGGGAGGCCAGGGAAATGCAGACTTAGTGATTGAGGAGCATTGTCGGCGATCTCGGAATAAGGGGTCTCGCGTAGTCGAAGCATTGGATTGGAGGCTGGTGATTTGAACGGGGTTATGCTTCTTTGTAGACCTTCTTTGGATGCTTTATCTCGGTTATCTTTCCTGAATGACACCTGACGGAATACATCATGAGCCTTTCTTCTCAAACCCTGGAACTGTCAGCGGAAGCGAAGCATTTTTGTGAAGACGTGCCAAGCCGAAAGCGCTGTGCCGACCCCTTCCAAACATGGTTTAACAGCAGTCGTTTGCAAAACCGCAAACACACGAACATGGCATGAAACTTTACAGTAGCTGGTACTGTACCATGAGCGTACCTGTAACTCCCAGCCCTGTTGTCCCAGTCGCAGTTTCAAGCTCCACGGGTTCCCCGTGTCAAAGTTGGATGAAGTCCGAAGATCCCGGCATCCAAGCACTGCCTATCTCAAGTGCGGAGCCGTCGAAGCAGGTCTTGAGGACAGTCCCCGCGGCGATAGCGGCGACATGGGTGGCTTCGGCGGGCCCGGCGCTCAGCCGAGTGCTGGGTGAGAACGGATTTCGGCTTCCGGCTCGGGCAGCTTACAAGTCTTATCACTCTTATCATGTCTTTAAGTCGGAGTACAGAAAAGCGTGTTCCCACCTTTTTGGAGGTTGCTGGAAAATCAACAGCAAGTGCTTTTTGTTCCGGAAAATAGTCCTGAAATGACAAGATCTTACAGCAAGAAGCAGTCAAAGTATGGCAGCTGCGACGACGCGACGATGGCATGTTTGGTTGGAGAGGCCGAAACCCCAAGCCCTACAGGCTTCAATCGGCCGGCATCTGCCAATCAGGAATACAAAGCTCAAGCCGATGTCATCGGTTGTAGACATGCTAGATCTGCTATGATAGGATCCAATTAAACAACTGACAGACACAGGTCATTTAGACAGGCAGTCCTGCCCACATCACCTGTCTCCCGCATGTAATGAGCCTGCTAGCGCGGATTTCCAGCGCCCAAGCACGAGCACTCTCAACTCGCAGTCGTTCGAAATGTGTCATCAGAAAATCTAGGCTCAATGCATGACGCTGAAGAGGAAGTCCGCCTTCCTGTGATTCCTGAAGCATTTCATTTGGGCTTTCGGGTCTGCAGGTCTCGAGGCCGTTTCGACCATGACGAGGACAGGGCAGTCATGCGCCTTTATGGTCGCAGTTGTGGCATGAGGGTGGGTGAAGGACCGTGAAGATTAGCTCTGAAGGGCTTTATGGAGCAGTCTTGGCCTAGGCTATGTGCATATCACACATTCCGCATGCGTTCGGCTAATTTTGCAGGGGGATTGGCCGGCATGAAGCGGCGCCTTGCAGCAGGGTTTTCGGTGCTCACCGAAGTGTCGGATTTTGTCAGCGCTTAGCCTGGGAATGTCTTCAGGCGAGGTTTTTCTGCTTCAGCCTTCGGCTAGCTAGAAGGCCTAATAAGGCCTAATATTTGTCACGCCAAAGGATGATCCGCCCCCTCCTCCTGAGGCTCCAAGGCGGGCCCGCGTCTTTCGAAAACCCCTTCCTCCTTGGGTATGTGCCCTGTGCGGCAGCTGCCGGAGTTCAAAGATTGTGCTGAAGGGTCTGTCTGGAATCTACCTGCAGGAAACCCACACGAAGGAACTTCACACCCTTTGTTAGTCCTCTATGGAGGTTTCGAAGCTCTAGAAGTATGCGACAGAATCTCCAGGCGTAGCTGTGATGGAAGGGCCGTCTGCCCTGATGGGTGGCTTTGCAGTTGGGGCTTGAGGTTGTTATCCGGTCAGAGCCAAAACATCTCTTCATGCTCTCGTTCGAAGGCAAGTTGTCATGCTTTGATTGCAACTACAGTGAGCATGAGGCATCTCGAGCCATTGTACGTCACAGTTTCCTGGACGGCAGGGTCGTCGACCCCTGCTGGCCAGGCCCCTGTATCACCCGACCCAGGACCTACATCTCCTGAAGCCGAAAATGCCGCGAAGGCCCCTTGAAACCCGAAGTCAGCGCAGGCCGCCTGTGGAGCTCTACGAAGCCGAGGCAGATCTGCCAGCCAAAGGCCGTTCTCTCAGAGTTGTACAGGTTAATAGTTTGTCATAACATTTGATACTATGCTACAATCTACAAGATGCCCTGGGTTTCGCTTTCGGACTACAAAACGAAGCTTGATTGCAGACATGTGATTGTGGTCTTGATGCATGGCTTCGACCTTCTATGCAACAACACATCCCGAGCTAAATATCCAAATGCGGTTGACGCACTAACAGTTGGCCTTCGGCACGGTAGTGCGGGACCTCCTGTTAAAGGATCTATAATTTAAAGGCAACCTTGTCACTCAAACGCCGCGAAGTGCGGAGTCTGGAGTCCCAGAAGGGCCGGAGATTTCGGCCCACCCCCAAAACCCCAAGACTTGGCGCAGCAAGCTGACAGTCCCCGGGTGAGTAGGAATCCAGCAACTCCACATAGTCCAAGCTCTCACAAAATTTCCGCCAAGCTGCTCCGAAACGTCGGCTTGCGGCCCCCAAAGCGACCGACGACGATGATGCCAAGACCTAAGAAATGGTCACAGAGGTTCATTAGGCGTTCGGACTCGCTTCTCGGCTTCGGAGTTCGTGGGCAGGAGGGATCAATGAGGCGGTTTCAGGGGTCTCCTTCTCGTTTGCACCCTGCATTGGAATAGGTGTTCAGTGTTGTCTGGCAATTGCATGTGGAGCATCAGCATGGAACAATGCTTCGTGTTTTCGTGGTAAGTACTGGGAAATTGCTCAAAGTCAGACACGTTGGGCAGGAGACGTTGGATCCAAGGTATCGAGGTACTCCTGTGAAGGAGGGAGTCTCTAGCAGACTCTAGCAGGTCAGTGCTGCCCAGACCTCCTCCACACTCCACAAAAATGTGGCCTGACTTCGAAACTTGATCTAATTTCGGCCTCCTTGACATCTGTAGCCTGAAGGCCGAAAAGGCCGAAATCTCGAAGCCAGGACTGGGGCAACGATGACCTCGGAGACGTCCTGCCTCCGATGTGACATCTCCAGGACCTGCCTGGCAGAAACAACTTCGAGCCAAGTGCATCTGTTGCGCCTGCGCATGTCGGGGTCCTTCCTGGCTGTCAGGATGCGTCTTGCAACCTGCCGCGACAGCCGCGATGCTGTACAGAAGGCGGGAAGGGAGCGAACTTCAAGCAGGTGCAAATCTTTGCAAATCGAGACAGCGGACAAGAGAGGAAGTCTTCGCTACAATCTCGCATGAACGAATGTGCTTCTTCAGACAGGTTCGCGTGCTGCTGCTGCATTGATCCCATGCTGAAAGGGGCGTCTTTAGATGACGGCAGCCTGTGCAGACTGGGATTTGCAGGGAAGGATACTCAGCACGAGCGGAGGACACCCAAAATCAAGCTCGGACCTCCTAAGGCCCAAGGCTCGGAGACCCTGACAGCAGATTCGCAAGGCCACTAGGAGTATAGGTCCCAAAACAAGATGTGTGCCGGCCGTATCTTTTCTTCGGATGTGCAAGCCGTGTGCAGATCAGCACCAGCCTGAACTTCATGCATGTTAGTCGAGAAGTTGGGGCAGGATATTTTGCCAGATCGCTCCTTCGCTGGAACCCGCAACCCAAGAGCCGGAACCAGGCCCTGAAAGCCCGGAAGAGCGCGAGCTGCGCAGATGCCCTGCCGAGAGCTTGTTTCAGACGGAATTCAGAGTTGGATATTGCTCCAGGGCAGTCCCCCCCGGTCTCATACACTTCCGATACGGGACCGTGCAACGGCTGTGGCGGCAAAAGCGAAAGCTTAAGCTAGGTTGATCCTCGATATATCGCTTTCGGATTGTTAGCACCGCCAATAGTTCAACAATAGAAGGACTTGCATGCTGACAGCTCTTATGGTGGATGGATCTTTCCAGCCTGCATCGGAAGGTGAACGGGATGCTAACGAGCACATTTGTGGCTGCATCGTACCGTACTCTGTCACCTTGAATGTTTCACCCGGTCGGACAGCTGCCCACACAGAAAATGGCTTGCAGACTGCGATGCAAACCAGTCCCGAAGCTGAAGACTACTGTTCTGCTGACTACCTGCGGTGTTTTTTTGTGTAGCCGCAGCTTCCCGATGAGGAGTTACCCGAGACCCTGGCCCAATGCTTTGAACCCTGTCCTCGGATCCAGTCACCTAGAAGGTACACTGCAAGTTCCTCTTAGGTCCTAGGCCTGACCGTTTTTCAGTACTCCGACTTGTTGTTGGGAGAGGGAGCGAAGGAGGGAGGGAAACAGAGAGATGGAGAGCAGTCAGCCAAGGGCGTGTCCCAGACAGGGGTTCGCGCCTAGGCACTTCGAAAGAAAGAGTCTGTCTCCAAGCCACCCCGAGTTTCAAAACAGCAGGCGTTCTTGGCGGATAGACGGCATCTTTAAAGGGGTGAATCTGGGAACACGTAGATCTCAAGGAAGCTCAGAAAAAGCAGCAGGACTCTAACCGTTAGTCTTCTGAGCCTTAGGATTTGGCATCGAGGTATTTTCGCCTCCAGACTTAGCCACGCTGTGCCACCCATGGCGAGCACCGCGCAAAAGACATGGGAGCTGGAGAACCAGGCAGGTGAAACCCTCAATTTCTAGCCGCTGTGTTTGCTTTATCAGTTTAAAAATGCAGAGCCCCAACCCTCAATTGATAAAGCATGGCGCCTAAATAGCCGATTTGCGCCGTCAGCTTGACTTTTAGCTCCTGCCTTCTCAGCTTAGCTTGTGCAGAGAAGCCAATCCCCGAGATCAAGACCTCGTGCTCCGATTGATTGGAGGAAAGTGAGCAAGGCTTACTTGTTGACCATGAGCAGTGCGTCGAAGAGTACTCTTTGCATGAACTGAATCGTATTCAGCAACAAGTGTTTCACACAAATCCATAATGTGGAATCCCACTCCCGGTTGAAATGCAAACCTGACCACAAGGCCTACTCGCATAGCTAAGACCTTTGACACGACATCTCGTGTCGCACAATATTTTGAACCCTTGACCGTGGGCTCTCAATTTTATGGTGGCAGACAGAGGAAGGCTTCTTGACCCGCCGTTCACCAGCACGACCCGGAACTGTCAGAGCAGGAGCACCACAGAAAATGCTTTGCGCTTCTACGCGTAACACCCTTCACGACAGCCTTCGGACAGGTGGTGCAGATTGACGACGCAGCAATCTACGCTTTCGACCAGGCGCATGGTTTTCGCTCAGAGGCTCATTTTTCCCTTCGACATGCCTACAACCTGAGCTTAACACCGCCAGTAAACGATCATCGAATCAACTCCCGCAACATTCTGAAAGACAGGACCGCCGGTGACTCAGGGTCGCAAGGTGAAGAAGGTGAAGATGCTAGCAAGTCGTAGACGAGCACACAAGGCAACTTAGGCACCTGCGCCCACCCGGATCCTACTAAAGCATCCTGAAGGCGCTGCATGCATTCGTAGACGACCCACATGTGTCAACGTCGCCATGTGCCTGCGACATTGTCGTTGAGCACACTTTCAAGATAGCAGCTGTGCAAGTCGTCCCACTCATGAACAACGTACAGCCGACATCGGAAAATGCAAAATCTTCCAGGCTTCCAGCCTCTTAGCTGCCTGCAAAGCATCTGAGTTTCATTTGTTGTCGGTGGCACCTTGTTTGCACCAAGAGGAAAGGCATGGAAAAATAAACACATGAAGGCAGGCCTCATGAGACGAACACACGATTCAGCTGCGCCGCAAAGACGCACATCCCTGCACTTCCTTGAGAATTTGGGCATCCGTGCATCTGCTGTCAGCATGCCGGAGTTTGCGAGCACTTCGGACGCGGTGGCCACACAGCCTGCCGTACGACGATGGCCTTCACCGGCAGATTCGTGGATTGCCAGGGCTGGCTTCAAAATTCCTGGGGCAAGTGTACCTGGGAGCCTTGTCAACATGGCTTTTGAAAACGTCAGTGAAAGGTCGATTGCGCACGTACATGACGAACCATGCGACCCAAAAGGCCAGTTGGCTTTTGAGCGAGGGGCGCACAGAAGGGATCTGGATGTCTCAAAATTGGTTGGCAGAATTGCCTGCATTTGTGCGTGACCTCCCCCCTTGTTTTCTTTTGTTGCAGCTGTGGGGCTTGGACTCAGAGACTTGATTAAGGCCCCCATGCGGCAGAAAGTTTGCTCCCCGCATCCTCGAATTTACAGCGCTGCAATCGCTGGTCCCTCTGTCCTATGAAAATGCACAGGACCCCGCAGGACCCGTCCTGCGTCAGGTTGCCGCAGTTCTGCGATGAGTCTCGCAGCGCCTCGGAGGGCCCGATCCCATACAAACCTTGAGTCGGAGCTGTACTTGGGCCAAGAAATTCGGGTGTCCCTATGGATCCCGGCGGCATAAAGTCGTGTGGTCCCGAAACTCGCTGTAGAGCAAAGCAATTTGGCGGTGGTCTTGGAGCCGTGGTGCTGGTCTCCTGTGACTCGTGGAAATCCGGCTCCTCGCCGCTTTCATCCGAAAAGGCCAGCAAGCAGCCATGTGGGCTCCACCCGCAACTTTGGGCCATTTTTGCCGCCCGCTTTTGCCTTGCCCCTGCGAGGCCGAGCAGGACGCCATCTACGACAAGAAGCCCTGGAGGGAAGACGTTCACTTCTTCAAGGCGCGTCTTTCCACTTAGGATATTGAAAGGGGCGCTGTAGGTGGGGCTTTCGGATTTGCAGATCTTCAGCGTGAGCACTTCAAGGGCGGGCAAGTGGACTTCAGTCGGCCAGCGGACCCAGTCTTCGCCTGGCGAAGCGAATTGTAGGTCGATCGATCCCAACTAGGCGGAAGGTCGCACTAATGGCTCATGCATCACCTGACCTGCGACGATTTTTCAGCGGTGAGTCGTTTGCAGTAGACTCCGGGTTGAGAACTGGCTGGCTTCGGCTTTGGACTTGTAGGTCAATGTATGCGTGAGCTTCGGAACGCCAATCATTGGTTTGGCATCCTTTGCCAGAATGTGCGCATGTCTGCCATCGCGCTGATCAAGATCATGATGCACACGAAGTCGCGGCCTCACAGTGAAAGAGGGTCATTTCCAAACACTGTCAACCACAGTTAACCCCTTCTTGCTCATATTTCGGGGAGAGAGAAGAGTGGCGAGAGACCGCTCCAAGCCCATGTGGGCACCCTGTGGCACAGGCACGCATTTTGGAAAACGATATGGCAACTTAAAGGTAGACCTCCTCCTTGCGACTTGTCATATTCCATAGTTAGTTCGATTAATTTGCAAATATATGCGCAGTAATAGCAGTGTCCACCTTCTGAATCGATCGGTACTGCGAACCAAGTTTGTCCAATTTCAGTTGTGAGGATGTTTTCTGAGCTGGATGGCATTGGGAGCACCTGGATGAACATCTAAGATCATGTGGCCGAGCAGGTTGGCCAGTGGGCTGGTCTTCAAAACCTTGGAAAACCGGTAGTTTCCTGTTCTGTGATTCAGACGGCTTGCGATTTTGGTCTTGTGCCTGCAAATACCCGACGCTCCCACTTTTCTTTCCATGTCGCACACTGCTGCCTCGCATTCAGGTCTGGGGCACCGTTGGAGGCTTGCAGGGAGAATGTACATTGCAACAAATGTGCAGTGTATGGCTGGGTTGAGAGACTGATGGCTTCGGCTTCTCATTTTCGTGAAATAAGGGCTGAAGGGTTTTTTACAAAACCTTCATCCGGGGAGATCACTTTGAGTCTTTTGAAGCCAAGGCATCGGTATCCTTGGTTACAGCCACACATTGGGAAAGCAATGTCTCAAGTCCCAAACTTGAATAGCTCCCCAAGGCCGCGCATCCGAAACCTTTCGGCCTTCAGCTTGAAAGCCGGCGAAACTCACTGCTGCAGGTCATGGGCCTGATGCAGGGCAAGGTGAAGCCTGAGCTTCAGGGCTGGAAGGATTCGGAAGTTGAGCTCGTGATCGGTTCCGACGTAAGACTTAGAGAATCTAAGTGTCGCGTTCTTTCGACCTTTGCCTGAAGAGATAGTTGCAGTGCCACCCGCTCCATAGAGCGCATAGCTAGAAGCCGGCCGAGAGTTGGGACTCCTTCGGATCATGACCTTGTTGTTTTGTTGATATCTTACGGACGCCTTTTAATGTCGAAGTGCTTGCTTCCTGTCTCGTTTCTTGTAGGCTTAACCGTTAACCGTCGGAATCGTTGCACGCGCCTTTGCGTTGTTTCTCGTCGACAAAAGCTCTTCGGTTCGACCACGACCGCTTCTATCGCTGTGACCGTCAGTGTGAAAGCTTCAAGCCGGCGCGTGCGCCAGGTCACACCGGACAGGACCTTTATCATCATGGATGCCTTTCCTTTGCCTGTTGAGGGCACGGAGACTCGGGCCCGGGCCTGAAGCATCTGCTGAGGGGGCCTGTACTCTGCATTCCTCGAGCAAAAATGGTATTCTGTGATTTTCGGTGTAGAGATATACATCTTAATCCTGAGGTGAATGCCGGTGCTGGAGCGAACGAGTTTATGGTGACATTTACTGAGCTCCAGCCTCATTTTCGCCACGTGATTTCGACCGGTTGCGTGGCACAGTGCGGAGTCCCAGCCCAGAAAGACTTTGCCCCGCATTCTCTACCACACACGGCACAAGCATGCACAAGTGGTGCTGCCAGTGTAACGGAGTCTCGCGAAACGAAAGCGGTGTTGCTGCGAACCTGAGTGATGTGCCTCTGAGTGTGAGTCAAGGGGTCAGGGAGCCGGCGGCTAAGTTTTGAGCAGGAGGGAGATTGCCTACACAGGGATCTTGGATCAAGTCGCTGTAACTGCTCTTCACGGCTCTACGCCTGTTCCTAGCCAGGTCCGATATATGTGAACTGAAAGGCTACGGAGGAAAGGCTATGACCGTTAACCTTTGTAGTACAACTTTTGTCCATCCTTTTCTCCTTGTGTTAGCAAGCCACCCGGATTCCGTTGAGTTGTAAAGCACTCAGACCCTCGACCCTTCGGCAAATCCAAGAGACCCCAAGGACATGCGAAAGGATTGGCAAAGTGGAGAATGCCGGGATCCCGACAGCACTCGGGGTTGTGTGAGATCTTGGTCATTGTTTGGAGTTGGCGAAACGGCTGCAATCATCGCAATATCGCACCTGAAATTAGATGCCAAAGCCCCAAGCCCTAGGTCATGTTTCAACGGAATCCTGAAAGCCACTGCTGCCCTGGTTTATCAACGTACGGTTTAGGGTTTAGGGTTTTAGGGTTTAGGGTAGCTTCAAACCTTCCAAGCAGTGGACTCAGATCTGCGGCTGGTATCACTCGCATCCGGGCTATGGCTGCTGGCTGAGTGGCATTGACGTCCAAACTCAGATGACGTTGGGGCCCTACCGAGAACATCAGCTACATTCTGGGTGTTGGCGGTGTTGGTAGTGTAAATCACATGTTCATGTTCTTTGCAGCTTTTGCCTTGAATCTTCCGTGACACGAGAAACTTCTCATGGCCTAGACCATCACTGGTTGGCTTGAGGATTCTGGACTGGCGTGCGTTTTCAGCGTTTGGGGTTTGTCAACGGCTGGGAAGGGAGACACCGTCGCTTTGGTAGGGATTACGCATGGTCAGGGCTTGAGTCTCCAGGTCACTGGCTGGGAGCTGCAAAGGTCAAGTTGTGGTGAAGGTACAGTAGGTCATTCTTGCCCAGTGCAAAATGATTCAAATGATTTCCTATCTCCTTGTTTAGGGAGCTGTGCCAGCACCCATCCCTGGCAAAGCTCACTTGTTTTCGCTTCTTCTGAGATTAGAAAGTCAATCCGGTAAAGTTTGAACTAAGTTTTTCAACTCGCTAAAGTCTACGACGAAGAAGCACGCCCCACAAAGGCAGCCGCAGCAAAAGCACTGTCGTCCACGTATGTCAGACATTGCAAGACGCCTCAGAATAGGTATCAGCAGCATCAAGAACCCTTCTTGGCCGTGGTGGTGGACCCTGCTGCAGCCTCAAGTGTCAAAGGCAAACGTTTTGGTGTGGGTGCTTCGGGAGCTGGGTCGAGACAACGACATGAACGACAGACGACGAGTTGTATGCGCGATCCTGTTGGATTATCATGAACTAATTTGAGTCCGGCGTTGTTCTTGCAAGGATGTTTCTGCGATGCTTCCAGCGGCAACGATGTGATGATGCCGGTGCTGGTGGTGGTGATGGTCATGGTCGTCTATGACGTTAAGTCGTAACGCGGTTTGCTTGCCGAATTTGCTTAAGAAGTACTGTCGGCGACCTCGCACAGCAGAATTGTGGCTTGAGCCAAAAATGCCTTCTTCTTCTTACTGAAGTTTGATTCTTGAAGCTGCGGTACCGGAGCCTCGGGGGGCCTTGGGGCCTTGGCCCAGGTCCGAACGTGTGCCTCCGGCAAAGTCGACATCGGGGCCTTCCGCACCTACCCCGCCGGCTCGGGGCCTGACTGCTTCACGTTAGGGCCAAGACATGTGTCTGAGTGAAAAGGCAATCCACCTTCTTAAGACTGTTAAGTCTAAGTAGTGATGCCTCGAGTAATTTTCTACTCGCCCAGCGAGAACCCCTGAAACATGTGGTGTCATGCTCAGGCATATACACATGCAAATGCAAATACCAGCTACATGCTGTGGGCACATCAGGGGGAGGCTTGAAGCTTAGAGGTCTCAGGCTTGCAGTTCGGGGTGTGATGGTCTGGGTCCTCGCTGGTAGCTCAGCCCTCGAAGCTCGAACATGTTCCTCGAAACCTTCTTGCCACCGGACACAGGATATTCTCCACCGGATGAGGGGCCTGGGGAGTACCAGCCCGGGACTTATGCTGACTGCTTCTGGTAAAATTTTAGGCTCCAAGATGTTGGGTACGCGATTTCAGGCTTGAGCGAAGAAGTGGAGCCCCAACGGAAGCCATCAAGTCATGTGTGATCACCTTCAAGTGGGGAAGCTGCTGCAAGTCGGGCAACAGCAGGTTCACAAATTACCATCACAGTAGATGAGACGCAGAAGCGCTTGAAAGAAAATCTGCAGGCAGCCGGTTGATGCTCTCCTGTAATGGCGCGACGACGCTCTCATGACGTGTAGCATCCTCAAGGAGAGGTAGCCCTTTTAGCGTGAACTTCTTGGCCGGAGCAAGACATTTGTCCTACTGTATGCAATAGCTTCCTCCTGCAAGCCATTCAGTCTTCTTCGAACTGAACAGAGCAAGCGAGAGTTGAAGCCACGATCTGACCCCTTGTCTCTGACGCGAGGTCCATCCCGCTAGACAAAATCGAGGATTTCGGCGTTCACTGCAAGCAGTGCGCCGTGTTGTGGATGACTTGCATTCAGAGTGTTGTTCGAAGACGATCCGCAAAAACCCTGAGCCTCCAACCCACTCCCGATGTCTCACGCACACACGCACTGGTTCCACCTGCAGATACTATACTCTTCCCATCGAGATCTTCAAAAACAGTCTGGCCCGAGCCTTACTGCTACAATGCTTTGAAAGACCTATGTCATTTCAGTAGTACAATGTTGTGTGGAGTTGAAAATTCAAGAATTCACCCGACGGCTTAGACTTGGACAGTTGGTTAGGATTCTGTGTTCGCCTTGGACAATGTGTTGCGGTGAAAAATTCGTCTTGAACCTATGTTCCCCACACCATTTAGTTTGAATCCCATCCAAACCTGATGCTTTCCGATCTGGAGCGCACGATGCATGTAACAAGACCATCCCGAGTCGAAAGATCCAGATTAACCTCCGTACTCGGGACGAAACCGGAACCCTGACTTCGATTGCCTACCCCCAAGACCGCTGATTGCAGTTACGGCTTGGGGCCATCACTGTCGCCTGATACATGTCATCTACCCATCCCCACTGCCGCGCTTCAAAAAACAGATCTCCTTTAGCACAGAAGTTGGAACTGAGACCCTCAAATCCTGGTGTGAACAAGCAGTCGTAGAGATCCCGTGGTGGACGCAAGAAGCGAGTAAAGCTCAAAGTTCTTTCCTGTTTAAAACTTAGGACGATATCACCTCAAAGCTCTTGCGATTTTTTGCGGAAATGGCAGATCCAATAACACAAAGGTTTGCCTCAGAGTCGACGCGACTGCTTCCTGTCCTTGGAGCTGGTATCTAGAACCACATTTTCCGTTGATTCCTTAAAGTTTTAAAGTGTTTCAGCAGACTGCTGGTTGCTGAGTTCTACGAGTCCCTTGCTCGTCATGCCTATTTATCCCAGCGGTTTCACATACCTCATGCAAACAGGCCAGTGTGACACCCAATCTCTCACTACAAGCTGAATCTACCCGAAACCTGCACCCCAAAATCGTCAAGTGCAACTGTTCCGCAGGACAATACCATCCTGGAGCTGTTGTGGAACAAGTACTGGATCGACACGCTGCCCTGCTGGCTCGCCTCAAAGCGAAGGGGAAGCCGCAGATAGGGTGCAGAGGGCAGCTTGCGGCTTCAATGTACAGTCGGCTTGTCCGATGTAGGCAAAGCAAAAGATGCCGAAGGTCTGGCGGCTGAGCCTCGGGCCTTCAAGCCTTGAAGCTGAACGGTGGAACTCAAGCTTGAAGTTTTCCTGCATAGCCCTTCCAATGCCCGTTGACTCAAGATCAAAGCCAGACATTGAACACATTGAACCCATGAGGAGTTGATTGCGCATGGAAGTTTTCACATACAATGTCACGTTCACGGGGAAGCCTGTTACCTGTCTGTTTCCGTGTTGGAGTTGTCATCGGTGTCCTGTGGACAACGTACTGTCTCAGAAAGAAACAGTTACAGCAAGTGCACAGGCAAAGCTGGGTGCGATCGGCGCCTTCACTTACAGTTTTTGGGCAGCTCTAGAGGATCAATTCTCTCCTGTGCAATTGCCACTGTTTCAGGAAGCCTCGCATCGTACTGCATTATGTCAAGCAGCAACTGCCTACATGTCGGCAACTTCGGGTTGCTTGATTCGGAAAGAAATCGCATGGGCTTGTCAAGCATAGTAGATTTGCAATAGGTTCAGAAGTAAGCACATTGGTTCAACAACTTCGCAGGCTGAATGGCTAACCTGGCTAGGTTTCAACACTGATGTCCAGCATGGCAGGTCGAGTTCGCCCTTGCTCCACAACCGTGCTTTCTGCAACCAGATGGTTCAGGAACTTCCGCCTCGTCCTTTCGGTGACACCTTGATGCTCAGAAGTTGTTCCATGACGTGTCTGCGCATCGTGCATGTTTTTGGGAACATCCCCTCGATTGACTCCTGCGATTTTGCAGCTTTTAGCATGCTTTAGCATGCTGGGGGAGTGGGGGGTTGGGGGTGGGGGCTGACAATGTACTTTTTTAGAGCACATCCTCTTTTACACGATATTGACAGTACTTTCGTGATGTTGTAGTCCAATACCAAGGATGATGATGATGATGATGATGGGTTTGGGCGCCAGTACTCCACTGCCCGTCCAAGCGAATAAGTGTGAAATCGTCCTCCACGTAAAGTTTTCCCTAAACTCTTGCTTCAGAATGTAAAACGCACAAAATGCTCATTCCAAGTGACCCCTCTCGAGGATTCCGCTCTTCCTCATATCTCGTCCCCCGAGCAAATATGTGCTGACACCAACTGGAGCATATGCCTCAGCACGTACCCGAATGACTCCATCTCCTTGACCTTCCCCTCGACTCCCCTCCTTCTTGTTCCCTGTCAACCACGGACTCCTTCATGCTCATGTCTTTGCTCTTCTCGGCTCTGCCGCGCCCCCCGCCCCGCCTCGCCCGTTTGGTGCCGGTACACGACATGTCAAACATCTGCTCAGTGGAAGGATACATCTAGACTGCGAAGCGAAGCGGTGGTTAAAGGAAAGAGAGCGATGGAGGGAGAAGCAGGAAGGCAACAAGAGTGCCCAAACACAAAGAAGCAAAAGATCTAAGTTAGGAAGATCAACCTGCTCGCGACGATTGGACAGGAGGTTACCGCAGTCCAGGCACACGGCATTGACAAGTGCCAACTCCAACAGACAACAACGACGTTCTGAAGCTAAACTGGGGCAGCGACCACATGTGGTCGCCAAGCCAGACACCACCAGTGAAGCAATGCTGTAACATCTGTCGGGCGGCGACACCAGTTGATGGTCCCACTGCCTGAAAGCTTGAACGGCTGACAGGATTGTGTCCAAAAAATGGATCAGATCGACATGGCTTCCGTGTCACAGTCGGAGACCCAGCTGCTAAAACACAAGAATCATGAGCTTGAGTTCCGGCTTTGTGTTGTGATGGTTTTAGAACCGGCTATCGCAGAACAGCCAGCTCCTGCTGCCGCTCAGACTCATACGATGCCAGGTCGCATACATTTCCTTGCATTGCAAGATGTGAATTCAGAACTGGCGGAGGGTCCAACTTCGATTCCCATTGGCATTTCCAAGGTCGCGACTGCGGCTGATGATGTCATTGCCTCGACAGCATTGATTTAGCATTGTTTGGATGCTTGGGTCTCATGTTCTGGGGGTGCAGACAGTTGCTTCGTTTCGCTGAAGATGCATCCTTGGAGTTACGATGTCAATGTTTTGTTTACAAGATCATGGCTGAGGAACTCCTCAGATTTCCTTGAGGGCCGCCAGGCAGATGTTGCAAGGTATCGGCGAATAGGGACTACCTCCAGTACTCGAAAATTCAGATGCCTGGGTTTGGCGGGTTTTGGTCACTATCCTTGCTGTGTTGGCGTAAGACTGTTGATGGCTTCGTCGTGCTCAGCGTCATCCAGAGGCTCAGATTGCTCACGGTGCGGACCGATATTGCGATTCTGCAAAAGGTCCAGTCGGTGTGCTTGTTGACTTCAGCATAGCCTGTCGAGGTGTAATGGTTCGAGCAGGCAGGGTGCGACAGCATGAGACAAGCACTGAAGAGCCCAGGTGATCCCATCAGACCGGAATCCAAACAAAAAACAAGAACACCAGCTTCAGGGGAAGCCCAGCTTCAGCCGCCCAAGGCATGAGCCCAAGAAGCGGAAGGATGAGAATCCTTTGACAAAGGCCTGACATTGAAAAAGTCGTGACTTTGGGCCCTAAGCTTGAGGCCGTAGGCGATTGTGAAACCAAAAACCGGTCAAAGACTTTGCAAATGGATCGGTTGAAGGTGTCGAGAAAGCTCGCAACAGCCCGGGGACCCCTCGTCTGTCGGCGAAGACAGCTCTGGAGGGTACGTGTCGTGAGCATCCTCCAGAGTTGGACCCGGGGCTTGGAGTTTTGGTGAGGCTCGGAGACGCCTTGTTGGTTTCGGTAGTCAGGGAACTCATAAAGTTCGGAAGCTTTTCAGAGTTTCAGAGACACTCTCGATACAGAATCCTGACACAAACGGACATGCAGGTGGCGATTGATGCCGCAAAGAATGCTGGCGAGCAAGTGCAAGGTCTGGCAAGTCAGGCAGCCTGACATGTTTCTTAGCAGACCCGGTATCACGTACGTTCTCTGCCTTCGCCTACATTGCCACTTGACTCCGTGAGTCGAAGATTTCGAGCTGAGCAACCTTGAACTCCAGAATTCTTGGCTAGCCTCTGCTGTTGGGTTGCACTGCCCTTGTTCAGGATCGTATGAAGCAGCCAAAACATGCATATGAGTCATGCCATGAAGGTTTGTCAGGCCTCCAAGCCACAAGCCTGCCGGCCAAGGAAATCTCAGCCTGTGTTTCGATGTGCTTGCCAACGCCCTGTAGTTCAGTCTCAAATGAATCAATCAGGCTGCCTGTCGGAGTGTGACATTTGGTATTGTGTTTAGGCCTAGTTAGGCATGCTCGGCTATAGCACCTTCAACTTCCACAATCCCTTGATTGGCGTGCACGTGCCTGTCAGCACCTTTGGGAAGCTTTGGGCCGAGGGCGCAATCCCTGTTTAGAGAACGAGGTGCGAGCGACGCCGTCAAACCAGACGTCCAAAATTCGACATGCGCAAATTTTGCAACAGCGCGGTACGGGTTACCTCTTGGTTTTTCAAGCATGCAGCATGCGATGCAAAGTTGAAAGGTGAAACAGCCATATTTCAGACCAAAGTGCATGTGCTAGGACTAGGACTTCACATGTGTCAGGTCGTGAAGTATTCCTTGTTTCACGGTCGCAGCAACGGACGTGCCCCGCCAGATTCTCAAGTCACGTGGGCTGGGTGTAGTGCTGGCCAGGATGTCAGTCCTTGCAACATCAGCCTCTGAGGTATGGTTTAGTGAGTTTGAGTTCTTCACCCACAAGCATTTCAGTGTGCTTAGCCACACAAAAGTTTAGCCAACACTGGATTCTGCGAAAACTGATTGCTCGCTCAAAGACTCCACAAGCCAAAGCCATTCACCTCACAGACTGTAGAGCGGGTCATTTCAAAGCTGCAGTTCGCCTGGCCTAGGCTACAGCAGGAGCAGCCCACGCCGATGGAAAGCTGAACACCTCGCTGGCCACAGCTAAAAGGAGCAGCTTGAGCCGCAATAGGCGAGCGATCAACCATTTTGCGATGCAAATTT